CTGCGCCGCCGGGCAGAGCGGGCAGCGGGCACTGCCCGGGGCTGGGCTGGAGCTGCCGGGCCGGGGAGCCCTGCAGGGCCGGCAGCAGGGAGGGAGAAGTGCAGAACGCCAGGAAATCTCCGGGAAGAGGAAGGGCCCACGTTCCAGCAGGGGAATGACACGGGAGAGGCACGGCAGACACAGAGCAGGGCTCCGGCAGGTTCTAGCTCTGGGTGCTGCCCGTGGGTGCTGCCTTGCTCCTGCATGTTAGGGCACCCCAGGGCGTGGGGCCGGCGCCATCCCATCCCATCCCATCCCATCCCATCCCATCCCATCCCATCCCATCCCATCCCATCCCATCCCATCCCATCCCATCCTGCCTGATCCCGTCCATCCTGTGCCGTCCCCACAGGAGGGTGGCAGCGCTGCCCCGACAGCCCCAGCTCCCGGGGCTCACGGCCCAGCTGCCCTGCGAGGGACCCAGGGCTGCAGGAGCCCAGGGGTGGCAGCCAGGGCAGCACTGGGGGCTCAGCAGTGGGCACAGGGCACAGCCCCGTCTCCCTTCCATGGCAAACGAGGGGTTCTGTCGGCATCTGCCCAGCGGCAGAGCCGCGTGTGTGAACTCGCAGCTGGATTGCGTTCTTGCTGCCCTGGAAGCAACGTGATGCCTGGATTCCTGAGCAAGAAAACAGATTGGGAAAGAGAGGATTGCTCAATGCACCTGCTGGTGAGTCAGAGGGCACAGACCCGGCACGGGGGTACCCAGAGGCAGCAGGGAATGACCCCGGCGGGACCAGCCCCTTGCTCTGGCAGAGAATTGGTACTCCAGGCTCAGCTCTGGCCTGAGCCCTGCCCTGAACCACTGCCAGGGCGCTGGGCAGGGTTTGGCCAGGCCCCCAGGGCCAGAGCTGCCCCCGGCAGCAGTACCCTGCAGCCCCAGGCTGCCCTGGTGGCACAGGCATGGCCAGGGAGGGCTGCCACGGGCCTGGTGGCACAGGCTGCGGCCACGGGCTCGCAGGAACGGGGCTTGGCCAGGTCACCAGAGAAGGTGCCAGGCCAATGTCTGCCTCTGCCAACAGCCAGCCCCAGGAGGCTCCTCCAAATAAAGTGACATGGATAAACCCATGAAAGGGCAGCCAGACCAGGGTGTGCATCTCACAGCAGAGACACACGTTCTCCGAACAGCATGGAGGCATTTTGGAGAACAGACACCAAGTGGCTGATACCGGCTATGGGGAGAGGTCAATCCAGGCAGTCAAGGGGACCCTCGAGAGGGAATGTTGGTAGAGGCTCAGGGACCCCCCCAAAAGTTTCATAGGGTAAGTTGGATTTTGTGAATTCCCTCCAGCTCTCTCCTGTGAGCTGCTCCTCTTTCCTCTCTATCTGTGCATCTATTTTAGGATGAAGTTTTCACTTCAGCACAGATGTTCAGAACTGGGTTTCATGCAGTAACAATATGTTCACATCATTTTCCTTTTTGCACCAGAAACCACAAACCGAGGAGCTGGAGCCAGCAGCAGCTGGCAGAGCTGGTAAGTGACTCTGGGCACATTCCCCCCTCTGCTTACGGCTGCCGATGCCATGGGCACGGTGGCCACGGCCAGACCCCTTGGCCACCACGTGTCGGGGTCTCCCTGGCAGCAGCCCGGCTCCTGCTGGAGCCCAGCACATCCCTCTGGCTGCCCTGGCTGGCCCCAGACCCTGGCAGGGGGCTCAGAGACCCTGGCACAAAGTCAAAAACACCTGTGGCTTTGATTTTAGCCCGTGGAAAAAACTGCCAAGTCTGTGTGAGAAATTACAAGCCACAAGGGTTTGAGTAGTGTGATATTTGAACTAAGACAGGGTGAAAAAGTAGAATTTTGGGGCTTTTTAGAATGGGGTTCAGGGGTATAAGGTGGAGGGATATGTGTGTGTCCTGACCTTTTTCTCCTTCTCCTTGCCCTCCGTGTCTTGCTGTGCTGGTGACACTTTTCTGTTGGTTTAAGGTATGGACACACTGCCCAACACAAATGACAGATATTGGCACGTTATTGCAAACATGGCACAGGCAGTTTTTGGTATAAAATGCAAACATCCCCTGAGGGCAGACAGAATGCCATGGCCGAGCTGCTGGCCAGAGCTCAGCAGGGCAGAGAGAGAATGTTCTAGAGAAGGGAAAATAAACAGCCTTGAGGAGCTGACCCTGTGCATTCAGACTCCTTTGGCTCCTCGGGCTGGAGACGAGGACTTTTACACTCTCAGGCCATCCCGAGAGCCAGCAGGCACCGCTGGCACCCCTCAGGGCAGAGCAGCGCCCAAATGTTAAATCAGGCAGCAAAGGGAGCGTGGAAGGCGAAGGCCGGCGTGGGAACAGTGGGAATGGGAGGGAAGGGAGGGAAGGGACCAGAGAGCCCCTCCACAGCCACGGGGCTCCGGGGCAAGACCTCAGAGAGGGGAAATGTGCTCTTTTAAAAATTACAACTAATATCTGGCTGCAAAAACACCCTCAGAATTATACTGTTTCCTCCTTCCTGCAACCATTTCCTGCCCAGGGAGCAGAGGCGACTCAAACTCCTCCCCAGGTTCCTGTTCCTCCCTCCCTGAAGGCCCAGAACCCTCCCCCAGTTCAGAAAAGCCTCCCAGCTGCAGACACAGGAGATGCTTGGAACAAAGTTTTATTACTTTGCTTTTCACAGCTGATACAGCCGTCATTGCTGCTCGCGGGGTTGTCACTGTGCTGGCCCTGGTGCCCCATCCCAGAGGGGTGCCAGGGGCAGCGAGGT